GGGTAGGAAGTGGCAAGTGATGTGGTGGGAGCAAGCTAGGAGTTTTTGCAAGAAGGAATTGGGGGTTAATGGGGATATTACCCTTATTTCAGAGAGAGTTCTTTTTAAAATGTTAGCACATCATTGCTCAATTCCTTTCTGTATCTCATTCTCTTTGTGGAATTTGGCATATTTCCTGCTTCGCTGAAGAAGAAATGCTATTTTTTTCCTTTGTTTGCTCTTTCTTTTCTGTATGCTTTGTTTGCTTTTCTCTTCCTTTCAGATTGCCAGTTCTTCGCTCATGTCTCCCTTCTCAAATAATCTTTTAATATAGTTAGACTTGAATTCACCTTCAAGCCAGAAATGTCTTTGCTCAACATTAGTGGTAATGTAGTCCGTAGTAGTTACATTAGTGATGACACGTCTAGTCACAATGGCAGCGTGTGCTTAGAGATGGCAGATAACAGGCAAGGTAGTGTGATGAGAGTGAGTAGAATCAATACAAGTAGACAATGAGAGGTTTGCTCTCGCAGCCCAGGAGATTGTTTGTTCTTCTCAGTGTGTGAGTGAGAGAGTGGGTGTGTGTGTTTGTGTGTGTGTAAGAGAGAGCATGGCAATATGAGCATGTGTAGCAGTGAGTTTTGTGCCAGTCTATGTGTGTGCGCTGTGTGTGCGGGTGAGCATTTAGGAGCAGCATTTGATTTCAGTGGACCTGCCTCCCAACAAGCCTCCCTATCTCTACGGACAAGCCATCTGTTTGCCCAGTGCATGGTGTTCTGTTCTTAGAGAGGAGGAAGGAGGAGGAGGAGGAGGAGGAGGAGTGTAGGGGCTGAGCAAATGGGCGGGGGTGAAGGAATGGCAGGAGCATGGAGTAGAAGAAGAAGAGTGGAGTTTAGTTTAGTTGCCGAAGGAAAGAAAGTGTGGGGACGGGTGTTTAGGTGCACCTTGCTTACACCCAAGAGAGTTTTGAGTTTATGAGTATCTCTCCTGTAATTCATTTATTAACACTGTAGCTCAGCATAACTGTTCATTCTGTGCCCATGAGACAGCTGTAGCATCCAGAAATGATTTACTATTTTTTTCTCTGTTTGCTTTCCAGTTTCAAAGTCGTTGAATAATCATGACCTTGTTTTGCTTTACTTTTTAATTTTCTGCTTCCATGTCTTTGTTTCTCCATTTCTTACAATTATTTTTTAAATAAGCTTGCCTTCACAGCTTGTACCATCTTCCTTCCTCTTGCATGTCCAGACAACATTCCATACAGGCTGTATAAATATGCCTGTGTGACATAACGGTATGTTTTGCGCTTACAGGAGGGCACGAAAGACAAAGAAGACACGAAAGAATACAACACAGGTATGGAGTATGCTATAAAAGTTGTCACAATTTAATAGTCGTGATAACTTAAGCTTGTGCTTATTGTACCTCATTATTTCTCTGACTTTCACTCTCACCACCCTTCTCACTATTTCAGCCTTGGAAGGTGACCAGTCTCCTGTCGAGAGGGATCAGATGGGCGAGGGGAGTTGTGCGGGTGGCTTGACTGTGCCTGCGTCAGTGCCCGCGGTTGGCAGAGGGACTAAAGGGCTGCTTGGGCTGGGTGAAGAGGCTGGATTAGGGGAAAGGGTTGTGCCAGAGCACGGTGCCTGGCCCTCACAGGGGTTCGCCTGCTCCCTGTGCAAACGGCTGTTCCGCAGCCTGGAGCATCTCAGGGAGCACGAGTACCGCCACACCCTATCTCTGATGGCCTTGTCCCTTGACTGGCCGAGCATCCAAGGTCCGCACCACCAACCAACCCAGCCCCATCAACATCCGCAAAATCATCCTTTTCCCTTTCAGTCTTTATACCGGCCTGCGGTAGCTGAGCCTGCACCGGCGCGGTACCTGTGCTCGCAGTGCCCCGCCAGCTTCACTCTCAAATCTAATGCGGACCGACACGAGAAGACCATCCACTTCAAGAAGAAGTTGATGCAGTGTGTGTACTGTCTGAAACACTTTAGAGACCGCACAGACCTACACAGGCACCTGTCATCCGTTCACTCCAAAGAGAGAGGGCACACCTGCCCTGCCTGTGCCAAGGCTTTTAGCACCCAGAAAAACCTGGCCACACATGTAAAGGTGTGCTGCCAGGTGGGGTCAGTGCCAGGAGCTATACTGGGAGGCAACATTGGAATGGAAATGTCTCAGGGTGGGACTATAGACCCACTGTGGCGAGTAACGCAACAGATGAAGGTTGACAATCACAATCACAGTATCAATGTGGAAAACTGAGAGTGGAATTACAGGCAGCACGCTACACAATTTCCTACCCATCAGTTAGTCGTGTATCCTCAAATGTGTTTTACGTTCATGCCAAAAAATACTCTGTGGTGTCACTGCAGTAACAAAGTAAGAGTTCCTTTTAAAATCATATGTCTGTTGATTATGGATATAAATATCTAGGGACTTTTTCTATTGCTTGCAAAGTTTTATGTCACTATTTTTTTTT